CCAGCAGCTGCATGTGGAAGAGTGGGAAAGTAAACCCAGTTCTTTCAGATCAGAGTCCACACTGCTAACCACTACACCAAACTGGCTCTCTAGCAGCGCATGCACACTTCTCCAGATAGGTTAGGTGTGGGGGGAGGTGTCCCTGGCCCAAGATGACACAGAGTGGAGAATCAGACCTGGGTTTCTCATACCATTGTCTGACACTCCAGGCACCGCACCAGACTGGCTGTACTCCGGCTTTCTGTCATTGTCCTGGGCACCACTCTGGATGCTGCCTTTTTTGTTGTTTTTGTTTTTTTAATCTATGAGGTTCTAGCCATTTGGGGGCGGGGCCCTATGCACCTATACCTCTATAGAAGACCTGCAGCTTCTAATGACAGTTGAAAACAGTAGAACAAAGTTTGAGTGCAGCAGCACCTTTAAGACCAACAAAGTTTTATTCAAGGTGTAAGCTTTTGTGTGCGCGCACACTTCTTCCGATAACAGTGAAATGGAAATTACCACTCTATACATATAGGGGGAGGGTGAACAGTAAACTAGCATACGGCACAATGGAGATGCTTAAAAGATCTGATGCAGATTCAAGGACCAAACAGGAATAACCAGTTTAGTTTATATGTTTACCATTTGTTTGAGTTTAATTCCAGGGGAAATTGCAGGAAATAAATACGTTAAAATTGGAGATTGATAGCCAGATGTATCCTTAATTGCAGAATGCTGAGAGTAATTAACTGAGACCCTGCCCCTTACACTCCATCCCTCTCCTCTCAAGCATGGAGGCAACCTTACAGTGTCTTCTTCTTTGAAGTGGGGTGATTGGCTGTGTAGAGTTATCTCCCCTGTCCCCCAACCAGAGAAATACATTCCAATTCCAACGCAAACAGAATGAGAGAAAGAAACACTGCAAAAAGTTGCTGTTGTGCCAGAGGCTGTTTTCTTGCCTGAGGCAAGGGTTTCCCCTAGAGAATTTAGGTGGTCAAAGAACGCTCAGCAAGGCAACACACTGTGGTACATCAAATAATTGCAGAACATAAATCAAAAAAGGCGTAAAGAGCCTCACACCCCTTCAGTTGCTGGAGGCTTCTTAAGCAGCAGCAATTTCCAGGAAGTCCAATGAAACCCCAATTGCTCTTTCCTCTTCCTGTTTGTGTAGCCTGCTTAGGTACCGCTTTCCAGCATAAGCGTCACCTGGGCAGGCATGCTGAGTCAGGTTCCAGGTCCTGCACCTGACATCCCCTTATTAGGAAGTGAGTTGATTCTGCAGCTTCTTGGATACCTGAAGCTCAGATAAGATCCCTGCGCCTCCTCGAGGGTTTCTTCCGCAGCGGCACCGCACCTGCAGAACTTGTTTGTCAGAACCAAAATGAGAGGCATGTGCAGGTCTCAAGTAGCAATTCCTCTCTTAAAGTGTGTTCAGCTCGCCAGTGTTTTGGATGGAACTCAAAAATCATGGTTAGTTTGTGAAAGTCACAGAGGATCATTACAGTTCTGGGTTTGCCTCAACAAATGCTGGTTTTCTCAGCTTCGCCCTTGTTCCCTGGTGCTTGGGAACAAGCTAGGATTAAATCAGGATGTCCACATTCATATGTGAGGGCAAACTCTGGATAATAAACCTACTTCAAACCATGGTTGGAGACCCTAGCTTGTCAGACACAAACTAATCCCAGTTAACAGAGTGGCTCACGTTTGAACGATCATAGTAACAGTAGCAATAATGATATTGAACACTGGCTTCTGACAGAGAGTGGTAGGCTAGACTTGGAGCACTTTTCTACAGGAAGGGAGTTTTTAATGTATGAAATGACCTCAGTCTGCGGCAGGTTTGCTAGGTCTCTCGTCATGACAGTTTTAACCATACAGTTTCTGGCAATTCCTAGAGTGACATGACATCACTTCTGGTTTTATACAGAAGTGACATCAAAATGTGTGCAATGCCAGCGCCCCTGCATTTCCCTCTGGGTGCCAGGCATTGGCTGGCAGCCTTACTTCCTGCTTTGCTCTCACTGGTTAAAACTGACAGCTAAGGTTAAATCAATGGAAGGTTGCAGCCAATGTTCCCTCTAAGCTGAGTTAGTGTGAGCTGGCTCACAGTTATTTAGCCTCCAGCTCACAGATTTTTGTCTTCGCTCAGGAAGGACAGCTCCAGAGCAAGCTAATGTATGTAGTAGCCAAATCGCCCACTCACAACTTGAATACCAGAAGCTCACAAAGTAGAATTTTTGCTCTCAAGACTCCACAGCTTAGAGGGAGCATTGGTTGCAGCTCTAAGTTAAAATATCAAAATAATGAATAAACCAAACCTTACTGCACACCTTCTCTCTCTCTCACTTTCCACTCCCTGTTTAGGCCTCGGTATATCTAGCGCCCACTGAGGGCATCTGTTCTCCAGCAATCGTGGGCCCAGCCCAGAGGAAGAAAGTGTCAGTTCCAGCGAATTCGGCGGTACCCATTCCCTTCATTTTGGTCCCTATGGGAACAAGCAACATCCCCATCACTGTTGTTGCCCACGGAGGATGGGGGGCTGGGGACAGAGTTACCAAGACCCTACGAGTTGAGGTAAGAGGTTTTTTGTCATAGAGGATATTTCCAGATGTCTGCTTCCTCACTAGATTCTGAACTGCAGCTCAGGATCATCAGGGAGCATCACATTTGGCCACTATACTTGCACATTTCATAAATGTACATGGCAATGTTTGCCAACTTCTAGTCTCCCAGAATTAGGTTTTACTACCACCACCACCACTACTGGTGCTACTACTACTAGTAGTAGTATACTAGTAGTAGTAGTAGTAAAACCTAATTCTGGGAGACTACTACTAATTCTGGGAAACTGCTGCTGCTGCTGCTACTACAAGGAGAGTACCTTGTACTCTCTTCCAGGGGTCATTTCCTGCAGGAGCGCACAGGAGCGGAGCTCCGGCAGTAAAGAGCCCAGGGGGTGGGCACATGCAACAAGCCCCACCCCCTGCTCCCAGCAGCCCTCAGTCAGAGCAAGAAGCAGCCAGGTAAGTTTCAGAGCCCCCCCCCCGGCTCCCCTGTCCAAAACAGTCCAGTGGCACCTTTAAGACCAAGTTTTATTCAGGTACAAGCTCTCCCTCCTCTGCGAGGACAGATCTGCACGTCCCCCTCCCCAATAGCTAGCAATCCAAAACAGTCCAGTGGAGTCTGAGCAGTGGGTGTTGCCTTCTGACACACTTCCAGTGATGTCAGGGGGTGTGGCATATGCAAATAAGTTATGCTAATGAGTTATGCTAATGAGCTCCTGCACCTCTTTTTCTACGAAATGACCCCTGCTCTCTTCCCTCAGAAAGAGCTTCAGTCAGAGTGCACGTGGGCAGCTCTGGGGCATCACTGCTGCTGTTTTGTCTGTTTGCCCAAGTGAGCAAGCAGCAACAGCAGTTGGAGCGACGTTAGGATTGGGGCCTCCTTTGGGACATATGCTGCTGTTCCTTCCTCTGCTGTTTGCCGGGGGGGAAGAAAAGGGGGAGCTACCTACTTCCGTGTGTCCATCAAGTCAGAAAGGAGGGCCCAGTCTCTTTGAGTGGTGGCAACGGCGGAGGGGTTGAACCGCCTGCCCAACCTCAAGAGAAATGGCAGGTGGTGCTGGGGCAGCGCATCTGGGGCAGTAGCAGTGGGACCCTCTTGAGGCCCCAGAGACTGCCAGTGCTGATCCTTGAGGCTGACCTGATCATTGTCCTCAGGGTCACCCAAGCAGTTTCATGGCTGAGTGGGGATTCCAAGACATCCAAGTCCCTCCCATCATCCCTCATGCTTCACTGGCTGTCCACTGGCTAGAACTCAAGAGCATCCAATGAAGCTGATGGGCAGTGGGTTCAGGCTGGACAAAAGGAAATGCTACTTTACACAAAGAGTGCTTAAGATGTGGCATTCGCTGCCAGAGGATGTAGTGATGATGGCCACAGGAATAAATAGCTTTAAAAGGGGATTAGATAGATTCATGGTCTATCAGGGGCTACTCGCCATGGTGGCTGAGGGGATCCTCCACATTCAGAGGCACTAATCCTCTGAATCTCAGAGCCAGGAGGCAACAGCAAGGGAAGGCCTCAGCCCTCTATGCCCCATTGTTGGCCATGTGAGACAGGATGTTGGACTTGATGGACTATTGGTTTGATCCCGTAGGACTCTTCTTATGTTTGTACGGTCTGTTGGCCCTAGTGAACAAACTGCCCCCCCCCGTACCCACTCCATCTTTTATCCCGTTCACAGAGAGAAGGTGCCATTCAAGTGGAGGAGTTCACCATCCCTCTGGATAACCCAGGTAGGGAAAACAGCAGAGCTGAATTCAGTTCCTGACGGTGGGTTGTGTGATATGGTTCAAACTTCCCATATTCTGGGTTTTAAAATTTTAAAAATGGTTCTGTTCCATCCTGTCCCTTATGGTTAAGGCAAATAATGAGCATTTTAAGACTTAGAAGTGAAAATAAAATAAGACTAGTGGGAGGAACTGTACTGTTGAAATATGCCCAGGATTGTCATAATCCAGAGCCGGCTGAGGAGTTCTCTTCATACCTTCTCCGACTGAGCTAATGGACCTGATGTTAAAGGAGAGGTGTTCTATTTCCTCTGCAAGTCAACCTAACCTACCTCACAGGGCTGTTGTGAGGATAAAATGAAGAAAGAGAGAATGATGTGAGTTGCTTTGGGTCCCCACTGGGGAGAAAGGCAAGATATAAATAAAGTAAGTAAATACAATAATTAAATAAAGTGCCCCAGAGGAAGGGGGGATCAGCGCATCCCCACACGTCTTTTGCTCTGATCTAGAGGTTCACAGGTAATGGGTGGCGTTGCCAACTTCCAGGTGAGATCTGAAGATCTCCTTGAATTTCAACTGATCTCCAGACTAGGGAGATCATTTCCCCTGGAGAAAATGGCTGCTTTGGAGGGTGCATTATACCCCACTGAGGTTCCCTCCCCTCCCCAAACCAGAAACTTCTGGAAGTTCTTGAAAAAGCTGTTATCTCCTGCCACTCCTGACCATTCTCTGTGGGGCCTGCCCATAATACGTTGATGATGGAACAGGTCAGAGACCTCTGGCCACCCTCTAGGGAATTCCAGGAATTCCCTAATCTGGATTTGGCAATCCTAGAGGGTGGCCAGAGGCCTCTGACCTGTTCCATCAACAACGTATTATGGGCAGGCCCCATAGAGAATGGTCAGGAGCGGCAGGAGATAACAGCTTTTTCAAGAACTTCCAGAAGTTTCTGAAGGATTGTGCCCTAGAATACTGGACTTTCCCAGAGTAGGGAATGGTATGTGGTACTCTATGCTAGGGCAGGCCAGGGAAGTGAGAAATCTAAGCTTCCTAAGAAAGGGTTCAGGGCCTGTTGGATTTGAGTCAGGGTTGGCAGTGTCCAGGTGGGGCCTGGGGATCTCCTGGGATTACAACTGATCTCCAGACAAGTAAGATCAATTCCCCTGAAGAAAATGGCACCTTTGGAGGTTGGATTCTTTCCCATTATACCCTACTGTATAAACCTCCTCTGTTCACTAAGCCCTGCTTTCCCAAGGCTCCACCCCCCCAATTCTCCAGGAACTTTCCAACCTGGAGTTGGCAACCCTAGTTGGGGTAGAAAGGAGCTAATCTTTCATCCTTTCCCATTTTCTTGGGACAGATGGCCTCTCTAGAACTGAGGTGATTTCAGGAGACGTGCCCCCCAACGCCATTCCCGACGGGGACTTCAAGATAAATGTTCGTTTGACAGGTAGGAGAGTTAACGCGGGGTTCTTGAAACCAAAGTGTGCTTTGTGTGTAATTCCTTGGCTGCTAACTTTTAAAGGGTGTTTTCAGACGAAGGCGATTGTATGGGTCTAGTTGCGCTATCGTTAAATTAACTGAAATCCCCCTGTCTAAGGAATCCTGGTAATGTATTGTTCCGTAAGGAGGCTAGAGTTTGTTTCTTTACTTCTGTGATACAAGAAGTCCTGCAGTCCTCTCAAAAGGTCCTGAGAAAATGTTCCTGCATCATCTTCTCCTCATGCTAGGGCTCCAGTCCTGCATCTTTATGAGTGACTCATGGGTATGCAGTACCACAGAAGAAGGAAAAGTAGCTCACAGAAGGTGTTTTGCCAGAGGTTCTTACCAAATGGCAAAGGTTCTTTCAGACTTGGGAGCAATAAACAAAAATGGGTTTTTTGTTGGAAAGAAGGTTCATTAGTAGCACAGCAGTTAGACATCAACAAAGTGAGAACTCTGCTGTGTCCAAACGAACTTTTTCTTATGTAAACAATGTCTCTACGAGGAGATAAAATGGCACCGAAAAATACTTCTTCTCCAGGAATTGCCAGTTCACAGTCATCGAGACACAAGCCGGAAGTGCCTATTGATTTCCCAAACATGTTAACTACAGCTTTGCGCTCTCTGCTGGACCAGATGACTAATCTCAACAGTAATTTTGATGATCGTCAGAATCAGCTGGAAGAAACAACCACCAAGATAGAAGAAACTCATAAAACGGTTGTACAAGTTGAAGCTAAGATGAATTTGATAAACCAGAGACTGGAGGAGGTAGAAAAAGAGCGGATTTCCGACAAGGAGTAGCTATTACAACTTCAAATAGAAAAATTATTATGTGTCTTGAGGTTCTAGGGTATCCCAGAACAAAAAGGGGAGAACTTAAAAGAGATATTAAGTGAAGCATTGGCACCAGTGACAGATTTGAAAGCGGAACTGATACAAAGCAATATGGATATGGTTTATCGAACGTACTCAGATTTCATCAAGAAAAATAAACTGTCTGGTGAAGTTAGACTGACCTATGACAAGAGCAAACTCAAGAAAAACAAGAAATATGCAAAATAGTATGTAGTTTAACTCTGAAAGTCTTTTATCCGTTTGTTATATGAGAAAGTGGCTTACATCTATTTTGGCTAAATATGCTTGCGTTGGTTTGACTCTATATTAATCTTAAACAGTTATATTCCTCTTATATATTTTAATTTACTTTAAGGTTGGGAAATACAATAAGCTACTTATATAATTATGAAAGTTGATCCTTGTTTTAGCTTTATATTTTAGACTTAGCCCCTTTTCCCCTTTCCTTGTAGTATGTGTAGTGGAAAAGCAATAACTTTTTTTTAAAACAAAGTGAGAACTGTGCTTATAAAAAAGCCGATGAACAAAAGGAAAAACCAGGTGGTTACATGGCCTGGTGGGTGATAGCAAATAGCTCTCTTGCTTCTTTTTCTGGCTTGGCTCTTATGTTTTCTCTACTCTGGCCCTCTTCTCTGGCCTCTCTCTTGGGTTTATATATTACAGGAGGTCTTGCACATGTATTCCTAATCAGCCAGTGCTAACCCTGGGAGTAAGGTTGCCAAGCCCCACCAGGAGCGGGACCAGCAGGGAACTGACTAGCAGCAAAAGAAGGCCTAGGCTTGTGTTGCCAGCAATGCCATGACATAACTTCCAACTTCCAACTTTTACCATAAAGGTTTTGCCCATATAGCAGAGTGTCTCCATGTTGCTCGTGATATGATGATGTCACTTCCTGTGTGCACTGGAAGTGACGTTATTTTGCCAGCACCACTGGCCTATGCTTCTCTTTGCTCCTGTTAAGTTTTCCTCTACCCCCACTACTTGTCAGGAGATAACATCAGCTGATATAATTGGGAACATGGTGGAAACAATAACATGTACAAGAAATCGTGAGAGATAATGGGGAATTTCACATTACCCAGTTTCACCCAGTTTCAAGCCGGTAATGATCCATTTTGAAGTGAACCGGGCTGCCATTTCACACATGGCTTTCCCCTTCCAGTAAAGAGCTGGATCTGAAGCGGTTTGCCATTTCAGACTGCACCGCTTTTTCCAGCTTTCCCCTCGCTGTTTTTCGCCCGTGCAGGCAATCTCTGGCTTTTTTTTTTTTGAACATTCGCTTTAGAGCGCTAAAGCAGTATAACAAAACACTCCGTGCATTCCAATGGGATTGATATAATGCTATTCCGTTATAGCGCTATAACGCTATAGCGTTATAGCGCTATAACGCTATAAAGCAAACGTTAAAAAGCCGGAGATCGCCCGCGCGAGCGAAAAACGGCGGGAAGAAGCGCATCGGAACTGGGAGAGGAGACTGAGGAGTACTTGGAAGCAGTTGACAAGTAAAACGCTTCAGCCCCATTTCCTAAATGGGACAGAAGCGATTGTGTATGAAATGACAAATATATTCCAGAAGGGAACCGGTTCTCAAACGGTTCTGTCTGAAATGACAGACCAGAAACCGTTTGGGAACCGTTCCTCTTCCGGAATATATCGCCTGTCTGAAATTCCTCAATGTGTCCAAATATTTATAGACACCACACTTCCACAAAGACTGTTATATTTACTCAAAGAATGCTGAGCATCAAAGCTCCAAAGTCCTTGTAAATGTTCAGTTACACAGCAATATCCATGAACCATAACATAAAGAAAAAACAATTGCAAATTCTTGTACACTCACTAATGGAAACGTCTTGCGTCCGAAGAAAAGTGTCTGCTGCAAAGTTCCCATGGATTCTTCAGTGGCAACGGCAACAGGGTTCTGGATAAAGTTCCTGTTTCAGAGAAACTTTTCTTCTTCAAAGCCCTGAAGATTCCAACCTGGAGTTGGCAACCCTAGTTGGGGTAGAAAGGAGCTAATCTTTCATCCTTTCCCATTTTCTTGGGACAGATGGCCTCTCTAGAACTGAGGTGATTTCAGGAGACGTGCCCCCCAACGCCATTCCCGACGGGGACTTCAAGATAAATGTTCGTTTGACAGGTAGGAGAGTTAACGCGGGGTTCTTGAAACCAAAGTGTGCTTTGTGTGTAATTCCTTGGCTGCTAACTTTTAAAGGGTGTTTTCAGACGAAGGCGATTGTATGGGTCTAGTTGCGCTATCGTTAAATTAACTGAAATCCCCCTGTCTAAGGAATCCTGGTAATGTATTGTTCCGTAAGGAGGCTAGAGTTTGTTTCTTTACTTCTGTGATACAAGAAGTCCTGCAGTCCTCTCAAAAGGTCCTGAGAAAATGTTCCTGCATCATCTTCTCCTCATGCTAGGGCTCCAGTCCTGCATCTTTATGAGTGACTCATGGGTATGCAGTACCACAGAAGAAGGAAAAGTAGCTCACAGAAGGTGTTTTGCCAGAGGTTCTTACCAAATGGCAAAGGTTCTTTCAGACTTGGGAGCAATAAACAAAAATGGGTTTTTTGTTGGAAAGAAGGTTCATTAGTAGCACAGCAGTTAGACATCAACAAAGTGAGAACTCTGCTGTGTCCAAACGAACTTTTTCTTAAACAATGTCTCTACGAGGAGATAAAATGGCAGTGTCCGCTGCAAAGTTCCCATAGATTCTTCAGTGGCAATGGCAACAGGGTTCTGGATAAAGCTCCTGTTTCAGAGAAACTTTTCTTCTTCAGAAATGCTTTGAATCTGGAACCAATGGCTACTTCTCTAGTATTCCATTTACCAATGAAATAGGTTCTCAATGAGAAATAGCTTAGTGGCGGGGATTGGTGGTCTCCTGCAGGGGGTGGAGTTTCGGGAAAAATCACACACCCCTTTGTACCTGTGGAAATCTAGGCAGAATCTAAGCCACACTTTTGAAATCCAGATATACAATACCTGGAGAAGGGTCTCATGCTGTATAGTGGATGGTGTCCTTCCCAGCATATTCCTGTACGTAATAACCTGTTCATGGTTCTTTCCCCCCCTACATGTAATCGGCTGATCTGTTCATCTCGGGTGCAGGATCGGTGCCAACTGACACCCTGGAGAATTCTCTGTCACCAGAGGGCCTGTCGAAAATGCTGCGCGTTCCAGATGGGTGTGGGGAACAAACCATGGTACTGCTGGCCCCTGCGATCTACGCCATGCACTACCTGGACAAGACCGAGCTGTGGATCAAGCTAAAACAGGAGAGCAAGCAAAAAGCTCTGGCAAACCTGCGCATAGGTGACTGTGATGCATGCTGGGGTCTGCAAGGAGGGTACATGAAGTGGTGCACATGTAAAACCGTAGTGGGCAGGCTGCTCAGTAGATAAATGGGAATCCTTTAGAACTGGGGTCCCCAACCCTTTTGAGCCTGGGGGCACCTTTGGAATTCTTTTCACGTTCCAATCAAAAGGGAGCAAAGGAACATGGTTATGTCTTTCAAAATACCTGGTTCCAGGTGCTCTGTTGTCTCTCATTCCACAGGCTACGAGCGAATGCTCGATTTCCGGAAAACGGATGGATCGTACGGGATTTTTCTCTTTGTACCCAGCAGTACTTGGTAAGACCCAGAGCTACTAAGGATGAGCCAGTTTCCATAGTGAGTTTTGAGTGAGCCGAGCAGATGCTTTTCAAGAAGGCGCAGTCCTCAGGATCCATCTCAACCCTGAAGCCACTGGGTTCCACCGGCTGAGACCAGTATCCCGTGTTTCGTGGCATGATTGCTAGAGTGGCCAGAGTGTAGGGTTTGCTGGCAGGCCCTGGTTCAAATTCCCGGCCACCCAGGGCTATTTTTGGGCAGGAACACACAGGAACGGAGTTCTGCCTGGCTCCCGAGTTGGCCACGCCCAGCAGGAACTCATTAGCATAATAGGCCACACCTAACAGTAGACACTCGTTAGGATTGGCTACATTAGAGGTGTGTGGCCTAACTTGCAAAGGAGTTCCTGCTACCAAAAAAGCCCTGGGTTTTGACAACAAAGTAATCAGAATAAGAAGCAAAAGGTGGGTGTGATCGGATGACCACACTTCTGGTAACATATGGGGTGTGACCTAATATGCTAATGAGCTGTGCTGTCAGGGGGTGTGATCTAATATGCTAATGGGTTTCTGCTGTTGGGTGTGGCCTATTATGCTAATGAGTTCCTGCTGGGCTTTTTCTACCAAAAAAAGCCCTGCGCCCACCCATAACATTGACTAGGTGGCTTTGGCGGGTCACTTCCTCTCACTCTAACTTGTGGCCTGAGAGGGTTGTGTGAGACAATGGAGCAGCACTGAGCTCGGTGACAAGAGGTAACAAATCGGTCTTTAGGCAGCCATCTGCTGGCTACCCCACACCACTGAGGGTGGCCTGCCTGACATCGACCAGAGCCCAGAGGCCTTTTCTGTCTTGGCTCCAGTTCTGTGGGAAGATGGGCTCCCTGAAGAGGTGGGGGGCAGCCTCCCTCCTTGGAGATCTTCAGGATGGACAGCCAAGGCCTTCCTGTTTTGCCAGGGAGCCAGTCAGCCCTGTAGCCAGACATTTTGGGTTGGTGGGGCATGGGGAAATTTTGTGGGGCGGCAGGGGAGGGGGAGGGGCACAGGCAGCCCCCGCTTGGAAAAAAACATTTAAAGGGTTCCCTTTAAACGTAAAGGGTTCCGCGCCTGAACTCCAAGCGGCAAAACCAAGGGAAGGCATGTGGTTTCCCCTCTCCCTGCTTTCCTGCAAGATTTAAAGAGCCCTCCAGCTGATCGGCAGGCCATTGTGCTCCCGTTGATCAGCCGGAAGGCCCTCTTAATGTCACGGGAAGGGGAGTAAGGGAGGGGGAGAGGGGCAGCAGCTGTTGTGGGGCGTGCCTCACATTTGAGGGGGCAGAGCCCCCAAATGCCCCACTGTAGCTACGGGCCTGGAGCCAGTGTGGTGTAGCCGATAAGAGCAGCAGACTGTAATCCGGAGAACTGGGTTTGGTTCCTCACTCCTCCTCCACATGAAGCCTGCTGTGGGTGACTTTGGCCAGTCCCAGTTCTCTCACACCTCCCCACCTTTCAGGGTGCCTGTTGTGGGGAGAGGAAAGGAAGGAGATTGTAAGTCGCTTTGAGACTCCGTTGGAAAGAGAAAGCGGGGTATAAAGCCCAACTCTTCTTCTTCAGGGCTTTCGTGGCGGTTTGAATGGCAGGCGTCTTTTAAGGGGGGAGGACTTGGGGCATGATATTTTATCTTTGGTTTTAGCTGGGGATATTTTAACCTTCGTCATAAGCTACCTTGAGCCAGGAGGAAAGGTGGGATATAAATGTTTTAATAAATAAATACTATAGGGTCTGGGTGTGCATTCCCATCTCTGCCAACCACCCCTCTTCTCCAACTACTTTCAGGCTGACAGCTTTTGTGGTCAAGATTTTTTCTCTGGCCCACGGTTATCAGTCTGTTGATGAGGCCGGGATCCGAGAGTCAGTACAGTGGCTGCTGAGGAAGCAAAAATCTGATGGTTCCTTTGAGGAACCGGAACCTGTCTGGGACCGGGGCATGCAGGTGAGTTCTCGTACCGCTCTCATGATCGCCCACCATTCCTGGTCACATTTTCCATGGTGCACTTGCTGATGCTATGCACTGCCTTGGCAGTCGGGTGCCTGTGGTCATAGAATCGTGCTCTAAATGGGAACCAGAAAGCCATCAACAGCTTCTCTGGGCACTGCAGGAGTTCCTTTCCTTTGGCAAAAAGTGGGAAGCGAATGATAATTTCAGAGCGCTGATCTATGAGCTCGACAGTAAACGTGGATCTGGAAACACCAGCTGCCACTTCTCTGCAGAAAAGAAGCAGAGGTTGGGTGTGAGTATGGGTTTTATAGTGAGGGGGGAGCAGCGGAAGTGTATGCTTTCTCCCCTCACCACTGTAGAGAGGGAATTAGATAGATCCCTGGAGGAGAGGTCTATCAGTGGCTACTAGCCATGGTGGCCGAGGGGAACCTCCACATTCAGAGGCACTAAACCTCTGAATCCCAGAGCCAGGAGGCAACCTCAGGGGAAGGCCTCGGCCTCTATTCCGTCTTGTTAGCCCTCCAGAGGAACTGGTTGGCCACTGTGTGAGACAGGATGCTGGACTAGAGGGACCCCTGGTCTGATCCAACAGGGCTGTCTATTAAGTTCTTCTCCTCATAGGTAACAGAAACAACCATGCAAGTACAGTAGGTACAATTAGCTACATTGCTAGAATAAGCTACCTTTCGAAACTGAAGAGTGGACATTACACAATGGCTTTAGCAATGCCAAGCAAACTTTTTTAGTTGAAGCATATTGCCAATCTTTGGTGAAATATTGGAAAGTAATAGTAGCTAGCATTTCAGCAGGTATAGACAATACAATCACTTGTACACCAGAACTGTTACTGTTCAGCTTTGTCTGCATCCCATCTTCCCTTCAGGAATGGGTCCTAGATGCCATAACAACTGCTGGTGTCATGTCTGTCAGATGCTAAAAGAAAAATTCTCTTCCATGTTTTAAAAAAAAGTGGTTAGAGAAGGGAAAAGATACGTTTTGTGTGATTAAATTGATGATTTGTTTTAAAAAAGAAAGCCTTTACATAATATTGAAGTTTGGAGACAAGAAGAGATGAGGAAGAGCTTGGATTTATACCCCGCCCTTCACCACTTGAAGGAGTCTCAAAATAGTTTACAATCTCCTTCCCTTCCCCTCACCACAACTGTGAGGTAGGTGGGGCTGAGAGAGCTCTCCTGAGAACTATCCTTGAGAGAACAGCTCTGAGAGAACTTGTGACTGACCCAAGGTCACACCAGCAGCTGCATATAGAGAAGTGGGAAGTCAAACCCGGTTCTCCCGGATTAGAGTCTGCGCTCCTAGCCACTACACCAAACTGGCACAAGTGGTGAATCTGATGGGCAACTAATTTGGGTTTACATGAAATGCTCAAAGGCAATGATTAAGTTAATTATTCCTATCCTGCATGGTTTACTGAATTACAGGGTTAAAATACTGTATTAGTCGCTTGATTATCTCATTGAATTTGTCTGCTAGACATATTAAAGGGGGGGGGGTTGTAGTTGAAGTATCTTGCCACATTCAGATTAGGCTCCTGTGTAGTTTTATGCCAGTTCGGAGAAACACAGTAAGGTCCTTATTCCCGACAGAGTGGTTCTTAGCCCTGCCAACCATTGAGTCTGTGTTCTAGGAGAGCAACAAAGCTTCCCTCAGTAAGAAATTCTCTTTCTGCTTCCCAAGGGTGGCGTCGGTGGTGTGCACGAGCGTATCTCCCTTGCGGCTTTTGTCACCATTGCGCTGAAGCAAGCCTTGGTTGTCTATGAGCTGAAGAAGGACGATCCAAAGAAGGAAGAGAAGCAAGAGCAGCTGAGTCAAGTGGTATGCAGAGAGCGGGTCAGAGACGGGGCTATGCCGACTCCATGCCGACTCTATGGAAACCTTTTTATCCAGATAATCCAAATTCTATGCCAAACAAGTTAAGGGAATTTGGTGTTTCTAGCCTTCCAGGTAGGTCTGGAATTCTCCTGGGATGACAACTGATCTCCACAGTACAGAGATCGGTTCCCCTGGAGAAAATGGCTGCTTCAGAGAGTGGACCCCCACAGTACTGCGTCCCTTCAGGCACTGCCCTGAAATCTCCAGAAATTTTCAAAGCGAGAGTTGGCAACTCTAGGCATTGTGGTAGTGTGGCCCCCACAGAAGTCTAATTGTGCTGAATTCTTAACAAGTGAGAGGTGGGGTGGGGAAAAAATCAGAGTACAATGTGGGTAAAGTTCCCACACTTCTTACATCTACTTTGGACAGACTTTGATATATGCCACACAGAGATCTATTGACCTCGTGGGCTCACTGAGACAATTAAAGCAGCATTGTTTTTGTTCTAGCCTTGGTTCAGTGGACTGAACATTGGAAACTGTATATCAGTCATCCAGCACTGAAGTTTACACTGTAGGATTTCATTAAGAACCTACAGAATGACAATATTTATGACGCTTGCCCATTTTCCCATATGCGTTTCATATCCATTCACTAATATAAATATTTTATACATTCTCAGATTTAATGTTCTGTGTTTTCTTGATGGCTTCCCTGTCTCCACCCCCCCCCCACCGAAATGCCAGTCCACCACCCATTTGTATAAATCCTTGCCTAACTGATTACTTGATCTTTCCCTCCTTTTCATTTTTTTTGACTTATTTTTATTTTATTCAAGCAGGCTCAGGGCAGATCATAGCAGGATTCTAAAACACAAATAGAATTTATGGAATAATTAAAAACAATTTAAGATAGCACAGATTTAAAAAGAAAAACACACAAAACAGGTTGCACTATTTCATTATATACGTTATTTTCAAAATGGTGCCATTGGGTCTCTTAAGATCTTATGGGTCCAGGCAGGGCTCTTTTTGTAGAAAAAGCCCAGCAGGAACTCATTAGCATAATAGGCCACACCCAACAGCAGGAACTCATTAGCATATTGGGCTACACCCCTGACAGCACAGCTCATTAGCTCATTAGGCCGCACCCCCATGTTACCAGAAGTGTGGTCATCCAGCCACACCCACCTTTTGCTTCTTATTCTGTTGACTTTCTTTGTTGTCAAAACCCAGGGCCTTTTCTTGTAGCAGGAACTCCTTTGCATGTTAGGCCACACACCCCCAATGTAGCCAATCCTAATGAGTTCCTGCTGTTGGGTGTGGCCTATTATGCTAATGAGTTCCTGCTGGGTGTGGCCAACTTGGGAGCCAGCCGGAACTCCGTTCCTGTGCGTTCCTGCCCAAAAATAGCCCTGGGTCCAGGCCACGTTGAGGTGGTAGGCTTCAATTTCAGCACAATTTAATGCTGAATTTCAGCATGATCTAATGATCTAAATCATTCGCAAGCTACATTTTCGTCTGAAAAGATCGTCAAGGCAATAGGTTACATTAAAAAAAAATCAAACACAAAAAGAATAGGGAGGAAAAAAATCAGACAAGCAGCCAGATCAAGAAATAAGAATAAGACATAATAAGGGAACACAACAAAAATAAAAGCCAGTTGCCCTGAAAAAGTTCTCTGAAGGAGAATGGTCTTTCGTTGAAGTTGAGAGTGAAAGTAGCTAGATCTGAGACCCTTAGAGGAGAGATGCCAAACTCATTTGTTATGAGGGTCAGATCTGACATAAATGTCACTTTGTTGGGCCCTGTGTGCCAAAACGTCATGCCAGGTACCGGAGATGTATACTTTATAAAGGACATAGGCAAACCCAAGTAACAATATTATTTTTTACTCAAAATACAAACAAAAGCAATTGATTCCTAGCGGTGAAAGCAATTGATTTACAGGGGAGCCCACAAAAGCCCCAATACATGTATTTAATCTTATGCATGACTAGGTTTTTTCCAAGAGATACCATAAAAGGGGGAGCACCTTATATTTACATACATACCAGTTGTTTACGGGCCAGGTAAGAGCCCTGTATAGGCCGGTTCTAGCCCCCTGGGCCTTATGTTTGACACCCCTGCCTTAGAGAGCAACAAGATTTGGGGAGTATGAGCTTTCGAGCGTCATTGGATAGCTCATACGCCGGAAGTCTTGTTGTTCTCCAAGATGCTACTGGACTCAACTCTAACAGTGCTCCTGCAGACCCTCTGAAACTCTGAGTAAAGAAGACAGAAGGATGTTCCTAGGATGAGAATTCCGCAATCTGAAGACAAGAATTCTGTAATCTGGGTGCCACCAATGAGAGGGCTCCATTTTTGGGGGGTGGGGTCAAAACACCTGATGGTAGGAGCCCATGGAGCAGAGCCTTTGAAGATGACCTTAGTGATTGGGTATATTTTTATGGATCTTTGAGATATCCTGGACTCGGACAATTTAGAGCTTTATTGGTCAATATAGGCACCTTGTGAGTTGTGCCCAGAAACAAGAGCGGGAGCCTGTGAATCCGGTACGATACCAAAATAATATGATTCCTGCACAGTGAACCTGAGAGAGTTTTGCCGTTTCAGGCAATTTAAAAGCACAGACAATACCCATGACCTCCAAGTCAAGACCTGGTAGGAAGATGCCATTGAGATCTCCCTCCAGAGAGCGATTTCTGTTGACTTGTCTTTCAGAAACGAAGCTTAGCTCGGGCCACCTCCTTCCTGGCCCGCTCACTGGACGATCTATTTCTGGATCCCTACCCTGTTGCCATCTCCAGTTACGCCCTCTCGTTCGCTTCGGACAACCAGTCAGCCATTGCTGCTGTCGATGCCCTCCTGAGGAAGCTCGCCACGCAGGATCAAAGTACGGGCTCTCTGTTAATTAATTAGACTGTGTTCTGAGGTTGAAAACTTTAAAGGGATGTATCATGGAGTGGGGGCAGGGCTCCGTAAGCTCTTACCACCAAAGAAGGAATTCGGCCAGAACGTGGGAGAGGTGGGGTGTTCTTCACTTTTCTTCCTGTTGCTTAGAAACGAAAAGTTCTTAACTGGTCAGAAGCCTAAATCACGCATTACCAAGTGGGCAATGGAACCAGTGAAAAACTGCTCTGCCATGGCAGCGTTTTGGGTGTCGCCTAGGTAATAAATAGAAGGTGCAATCACCTTTAAACCCATTGTTCCTTCCTAGATTTATTTCACAGTGACCGATTTCTCACTAGAGCTGCATCGCTGTTGCGCCGCCCTTTGCCCCATTTCTATTAGTCAATTTCACACCCAAAGCCGCGCTGCGGCATTTTGGCCCACGGCTTCGCCTGATTCCTCCCGCGGTTTCATGATCCTGTTTTTTAAGAATCAAGAAACCGCGGAGGAAATCGGGCGAAGTCGCGGGTCAAAATGCGGCCTCGCGGCTTCGGGTGTGAAATTGACTAATAGAAACGGGGCAAAGGGCGGCGCAACAGCGACGCAGATCTAGTGAGAAATCGGTCAGTGACTTCCCTGTTCAGGTACAGGCAAGGGAAGGTACAGTGGTATAATGGTGAACAGCCATCTTTGGTACTAGTGTCTTGATTTAGGGTGCAGGCAGCTTGGGAAACGTGCAAAACTGTCTCACATAAGAACAGAATAGAAGCCATGCAGGATCAGGCCAGTGGCCCATCCAGCCCAACACTCTGTGTCACACAGTGGCCAAAACCCAGGTGCCATCAGGAGGTCCACCAGCGGGACCAGAACTCCAGAAGCCCCTCCTACAGTGGCCCCCCAAGCACATGTCCATGCACTTGTCTTCTCCCGTGTCTATCCATAGTGCCACTTCCTCCCACCCCAGGGTTGCCAACCCCCAGGTGGTGGCTGGAGGTCTCCTGGGATTGCAACTGATCTCCAGGCAGCAGTGATCAGTTCCCCTGGAGAAAATGTCTGCTTTGGGAGGTGGCATTGTACCCTATGGCCCTTTCTCACATGCCGAGGGGAATGCTGATCACCACTTTAGGGTCAGGAAGCAATTGTTCTCCAGGCTAGTTTGGCTGGAGATCCTGGAAAGGGGGGGGGGGTTGCCCTCTCCTGGGCATGGAAATGGGGTCACTGGGGGTGTGGGGGGTAAGGTATTTGTGAATTTCCTGCATTGTTGCATTTAAAAAATTGGTTTTTAGCAGAGATAAAATAGCTTAGCAGTGCCAGAGTAAAATAATTCAGACTCAGAGTCCATGTGTGTTTAAAATAGAAAGTTTTTACTAAATTCTAGCATGGGGAAGGGTAACTGGGATGAAAATAACAACAGAGCTAAATTCCCTACATCTTTACACTACAAAGACAAGACTAGAAGAGAGGTAATGGCTGCTCTTCTTTCTGCTTCAGAACTCCAGACAAAGACGGGAAGAGGAGCCATAAAATGCTAAAACACTTTGACACTTTGCTTCCAATGAAACTCCTAGATCAGGGATGATTTTCCCGGGCTTGTAGTTCTAAATTAACATTGGCTACATAAAACACACGTGACTTCCTGTGACAACACAAACAAACATTTAACCCCATATATACTGAGTGTAATTTTAACTTGTAATACCCAACATGCAGTGTGCAGGGGGTTGGACTAGATGACCCTGGAGGTCCCTTCCAACTCTATGATTCTACTGAAGTCCTTCCCCTCCCCAAAACCTGCATACCACCCCCAAAATCTCCAGAAATATCCCAACCTGGAGCTGGCAACCCTACCCCACTCCCAGGCTGTGGTGGGGCTCGACTCGTCCATGAAGCCCTATTTCCTCTCATAGCAACAGATAAGAGCTTTTGCCCCCTCATCTCCCTTGTTGTCAAGCTATCATTCTAATATTGTAGGAAGTTAACTTTTGAACTGCGAGGGAAGGTGGGGGTATACATGTTTCAGCAAACAAATAAATAATGATTCGTTCTCTTACACTCGCGCCTCCAGACAACACAGTGATGTACTGGGCGGTGGAGGAGCAGGACCGACTGCAGGGGGAGAGGAAACGTTCCCAAGTGCCGTCGGCCTCTGCCATCTCGGTGGAGGCCACGGGCTACGGGCTCCTTCACTTAGTGAAGCAAAATTACACCCAAGCCGCCAGCAAGGTGGCTCGATGGCTGACGGAGCAGCGGAACTACGGAGGCGGCTTCAAATCGACCCAGGTAAGCTACCGTACCTGACTTAACTGGAGTGCTTGCCTTTGGCCAATAGGGGTGTCAGTGTTGGGACACAAGCGAGGGCCAGACTAGATGGTACAGGGGCAGCCAAAAAGAGGGAAACAGCTCCCCTGCTCCAGCACTGTCTGGCTTGGACTTCGACCTCTGCCCCTTCCTTGGCCGTCAGCAGTCCCCTGGACCCTTTCTGTCTCCCTGGTAATGGTTCTTCAGTGGCGGCGCCTTAGGATGCTTCCCCATCACTGTTAGTAACATAGATAGGAGCTGGCCAGACTCCTGTCTTCTCTCTCGGCCTCCCTTTTTTCGTTTCTTCCAGGACACGGTTGTGGCTCTGGAAGCTCTCTCCCAATATTGGATCAGTACCTACAAAAAGGAAGACAATGAACTGAAAGTGACCCTCACTGTCCCTGGGAAAGGCTTGCCATTCCAGATGTCATTTGGGAGGTCTGATGAGGTCGTTGAGGAAGAGCTGCAGGTACGTGAGCCGAACTTGCCCTCTCCTAGCAGTGCTCTGCTTCTTGTGTTGTTCTGTTGGTGCTTTTGATTGGCTGGTGTCCTACCTCCCTTTGGTGGGTAGGCCCCGATAATCAGGGCGGTGTGTCGTCTGCACTAAGAAAAATCCTCTCTGTGCTGGACTCAAATTCCTGGAGTAACCTGTGTTAAAACAAAGCAATTTGATTTATGTACAATGTTTTCTCCCAGGAGGGACAGGTCACAAACCCAGAGAATCAAAATAAAATCTTATATCTCAGCCAGAACACAGTTCCTTTTTTACTTTTACTTCTGAGACCACATCTACGCAGGTTTCAGCAGACAGGGGTTTTTTTGGTGCAAAATATGACAGCCTTAAAACACATTTTTTTTTTTTTTGTAATGCAGTGTACACACAGCCTATAAAGGCTAAACTCGTGACTTGAAGGGGGGGGAACTGTTTCTCAGAATACTGTCTGTTACATATTGGGATTGAAACATCCCTGATTGAATCACCCCAGAGACTGGCTGAGCTTGGAGCAGAAGAACAATAGCCGACCAGGATTCTGAAAGTAACCAATCTAGTAGTAATGTTATGTAAATAGCCTATTACTGGGAGTGGGGTGTGCTTGGGTGTGGCAGTTGCATGCTATTTAACAGAGCTGAGGCTCTGGATTCTTGTCTTGTGCTTGCTGAAATTACTAATAAAGTAGAACTGATCACTAGGCTTGTGGTCTGTTCATCCATGAAACTCACTATTTAACACTGCCATTCAGTGCTAGATGCTCAAGTGCGGGTCCTCGGCCTTTTTGATCAGATCTCCAATGGCTAGTCAGAAGCAATGCTCCCTCTAAGCTGTGGATTCTTGTGAGCAAAAATTCTACTCTGTGAGCTCCTGGCATTAAAGTTGTGAGTGAGCGATTTGGCTGCTGCATAGATCAGTTTGCTCTGGAGCCATCCTTCCTGAGCTAAGAGAAAAATGTGTGAGCCAGAGGCTAAAAAACTGTGAGCTAGCTCACATTAACTCAGCTTAGAGGGAACACTGGCTCAGAAGCCCTGCTAGACAAAAGCCCCATCTGACCCCAGCCACTTTCTAAAACACTTTGGGGGCACCCGCAAAGGTCACACCCAGGGGTGCCGCATTGCGGACCCCTGCACATGGGGAACACATATAAATATCCAAGACTGCCATGCATTACAGTTCAGCATTTGCATGGCGATCTTGGATATGTAAAAGTGTTGGATTGGTATTATAACGACTTACATAAATGATCTTGGTGGTACCTTTTGGGGAGTTTTCAGTGGTGTAATACCAATGCATTCACTCCAGAATTATACGCAAGGGGGGGAAAACACCTCTCAGTATTATTTAGATATAAATGTATTTATATGCCTGCCTTTCTCCAGAGCTGCGGTGGCTCAAGTGGTTAAGATGCTGAACTGCAGGCTGTGGAAGGTCAGTAGTTCAGCGCTGGCTCTTCGGCTTTGAAACGGAGATGAGCACCGCAACCCTAGAGTCGGACTCAACTGGCTTTCGAGCAAGGGAACCTTTACCTTTTACTTTCTCCAGAACAACATAGGACCCAAAGTGGGTATTCTTCAGTGCATCCCAAATCTTACATTCAGACCTCCAGATTGATTCCAGAATCATGCTACATAGTGTTGTTGGTTTGGTCATTCACTTTCTTCTCTTTCCTTCAGTTTACCTCCGGGAGTGACATCCATGTAAAGGTGGAAGGGAAAGGAAAAGGAACTCTGACTGTAAGTATGAATCCCAGAGCCAGGAGGCAACACCAGGGGAAGGCCTTGGCCTCTATGCCCGGTTGGTAGACCTCCAGAGCAACTGGTTGGCCACCGTGTGAGACAGGATGCTGGTCTAGATGGACTGTTGGCCTGATCCAGCAGGGCTCTTCTTATGTTTCTGTCTTCATATAACCCTGTTTTTTGACTTTGTAAGCTTTGGCTGGCATCCACAAGCCCCTGCCCCCCACGCCGGTATCCTTGCAATAGCTCTGTGTGGTATCAGTTTGATTAAGAGATGGTCATGGTCAGGGGTCATTTTGTAGAAAAAGAGGTGCAGGAGCTCATTAGCATAACGCATTAGCATAACTTATTTGCATGTGCCACACCCCCTGACATCACTGGAAGTGCGTCAGAAGGCAACACCCACCCCTCAGGCTCCACTGGACTGTTTTGGATTGCTAGCTATGGGGTGGGGGATGTGCAGATCTGTCCTTGCAGAGGAGGGAGAGCTTGTACCTGAATAATACTTGAAGGTGCCACTGGATTGTTTTGGGCCGGGAAGCCGGGGGGGGGCTCTGCAACTTACCTGGCTGCTTCTTGCTCTGACTGAGGGCTGCTGGGAGCAGAGGGTGGGGCTTGTTGCATGTGCCCACCCCCTGGGCTCTTTCCTGCCGGAGCTCCGCTCCTGTGTGCTCCTGCAGGAAATGACCCCTGGTCATGATTGAAGATGCTGCACTGAGGCTATTTCCACACAGGTTGTTTGCCTTGGTTTTGGGGGGTGGGTGGGTGCGTGTGTGTGTGTGTGTTTTTGTTTTGTTTTGTGTGTGTGTTTGTGTGCATGTGTGTGCCCGCCTGGAAGTCATGGCGACCTCTGGCGACTCCTACTGGGGCACGGAGGACATTCAGAGAAGTGGCTTGATAGCCTGCCTCTGGCCTCCCAGTCTTGGTATTCTTTGGAGGTCTCCCATCCACATACTTCCCAGGACTGGCCCTGCTTAGCTTCCTAGCTTCTGACGAGATCAGGCTTGCCTGGGCTATCCAGGTCAGAGAATTTGCCTTGGTTTGATGTACCACAGCATCATGGTGGTTTTGTGCACCTCCTGGGGTTTCCCTGGCTTTTCTTCAATCTGCCTCAAACCTGGGGCTTTTCTGCATGGTCAACTTACCCCTGGTTTTCTTGACAGTCAATCCACAAGCACTGGAATAGGTTTGAACTCCATTCCTCTGCACGTCTGTCCTTTCTGAATTTTCACAGTGGTGGAGTCAGTTTATTTTCTTCCACATATGCCTTAAATAATCAAAGATTTTCAAGGGAGGGTTGCTGTCATCACGGGTGGCATCACAGCACACCCCCTTTTTTTTAAATGGCCCTAAAATATCAAATATGCATTTACATACCGTTGTACTGATAGGTTAAGCAGGTTCTCTGAATTCGTTTCATTTTTTCAAAAAGTAAGTCTCCAGCCTCTTTCCCCGCAGAGATATAAGGAAGAAGGCATATTTCCACAATTCCAGAATGCCAGCCCCCATCTGGAGATGGGCAACTCTACTGCTATACCACATTGGCTCTTACATTTTCTATCTTATTACCTGAGACTTGGGAGGGGCTGTGGCTTAGTGGTAGAGCATCTGCTTGGTGTGCAGAAAGTCCCAGGTCCAATCCCCGGCATCTCCAGTTAGGAAGGACCAGGGAGGAGGTGATGTGAAGGACCTGCCTTTTATTTTCTGTTAGCATTCTTCTACTTATAATAGTAGTGTGAAGGACCTGCCTTTTATTTTCTGTTAGCATTCTTCTACTTACAATAGTAGTGTGGCAGAGACAGAAATTCCACAGGGGCTTTGCTGTGAATGTCAGTGCAGTGGTGATGAAAAACTCGAGCTGTTGAATTTCTGGGTGCCAGAAGACTCTCGTCCCATCCCTAAGTGGGCTCAAACAATTTCGGGAGGGGGGGGATGGGATTGGAGTAGGATTGCCAACTTCCAAGTGGGACCTGGAGTTCTCCTGGAATTACAGTTGATCCCTAGATGACAGAGATCTGCCGCCCCCCTGGATAAAATGGGAGCTTTGGAGCATGGACTCGAAGGCATTATATATTCCTATTCCCACCCTCCCCAGACTCCACCCCACAATCTCCAGGAATTTCCCATCCCGGAGCTGGCAACCCTCGATAGAAGCCTGGTCTCCTGGGTTCTGAGGCCACCTGGGGCCTTAACAGCTGTCATGAGGGTGCTTCTGTGGGGGTTCAAGATTTCCTCTTCCTGATCCCTGCAGGTCCTGAAGCAATTCCACGTCTTGGCAATGCAGAACACCTCCTGCCAAACCCTCGGCTTAGAGGTGAAGCTGAGTGGTTCAGTTCAATATCAGCGTAAGTCCAGGCTTGTTTTGATTGTATTTATACGACCTTTCAAAATTTGCTTCCCGCCTCCCCATAAAGGTGGGATCAAGGTGACCAAGGTGACCCAACTTTTTGGGAGCATTTGCAGGGCGGAATCGATGGGGCGGATTGTGCATAGGCTCGCCATCCTCCAGGTGGTGGCCGGAGATCCCCTGGAATTACAGCTGGCCTCCAGACGACAGAGATGACTCCCCCTGGAGAGAATGGGGCTGCTCTGGAAGTTGGTCTCTATGACATTATACACCCTGCTGAGGTTCCTCCCCTCCCCAACCCCCTGTCCCCCCTAGGGTTGCCAAGTGGCACCTACCTTGCCGGCGGGGGACTCCCGTCTGGAAAGTGAGTTTTCCCTTGTATGGCCGTGGCCCCACCCCCAGCGTGCCCGGTGTCATAACGTCACTTCCCTGTGACGTGCACGCTGGGGCGGGGCTCCCCCCGGGGCCCGATTCCCCGGCGTCGGGGAACGGGTCTCTGAGGCGGGGTTTTCCGCCCCCCGGGGGGACTTGGCAGCCCTTGTCTCCCCAGGCTTCACCCCCCCCCCAAAATCCTCAGGAATTTCCCGTTCTAGAGCTAGAAACCCAAATTGTGCGCCATCACCTGCCTCCTGATTCTCTCCTTGGAAATCCTTGTGCATTTGTTGCAAGGGAAACAGGGGGGCAGGAATCTGGGGTTTTCCTCATAACTACCCCCGCTTGCCAAAGAGCTTCATTAAAATCTTGTTTTGTCTTTTTAGCTCATGCTGCTGCAGTTCTTTTTGACTGCAAGTACTCTTTCAGCGTCTTATTGCTTAATATTGGTTTGCTTCCCCCAACTTGCTTTCCTGAGCTGCATGAAATCCAGGAAAGTCTTTGCAAAGATCGTTTTGCTGAGAGAGAAATCATGCCACTGAAGGCCAAATGTATTGATTTAGAGAATTATTGCTTTCGTATCATAAGTAGGGGTGTGCATTTGGGTCTACCCAAACTGAAAATATACCCGGGTATATTTTGGCTTTCCCAGTGTATCCAGGTTGTCTTGGGGGGTGGGGAATCCCCCAAACACCTTGGGTATATTCAGGAATTACTGGTAGATCTGAAAACAGAGAAGAGGTGGAAGCAGATTGCTCCCACCTCTCATCTGTTTGTTGGGCTTCTACTGCAGTCCCTTTAAAGTTTAAAGGGCCTGCAGAAGACAGCCTGAGGATCCGGATTGGCTGTGCCAGGGGGAACAGACAGTTCCCACCAGCTCGGCTTGGGGCTGTTTTCTCGTGTAGCCCGGTTTAAACTGGGTTGCAGGAGAAGCTGTCCCAGCCAAGGATCTGCGTGCCTTGGGGAGCAATCTTCCAAAGGTACAAAGACCCTGGGTCTGGCTCCTTCTGTAGCGTGGTTTAAACTATGCTGCAGGAGAAGCTGTCTCAGTAGGATCTGTGTGCCATGGGGAGTGATCTCCCCCACGGCACACAGATCCTGGAGCTGGCCTCTCCTGCGGCATAGTTTAAACCAGGCTGGTATTTTTTCTTCTCAAGTCTATTGGACCTGAAAAATTTGGGATTTCTGAAAAATCTGAGATTTTTCCCAAATATCGTTTTTTGGGGGGTCCAATAGACCTGAACCAAAAAATACAGAATTTTTAAAAAATTGCACACCACTAAATGTAAGGCTTTACATTAAAGAGTGTTAGTAAGCAAACAGACAAACAAACAAAAACCCTTCCCACAATTATTTCTTTCTTTCTTTCTTTCTTTTATTGCATTTATACCCCGCCCTCCCCGCGAACGGGCTCAGATTCAGGTGGGTAGCCATATTGGTCTGACTCAGCAGAACAAAGTTTGGATCCAGTGGCACTTTTAAGACCAACCAAGTATTATTCGAGGAATAAGCTTTCGTGCGCATGCACACTTCCTCAGATACAGTGAAATGGAAGTTACCAGTCCACACATATAGGTAGAGGGTGAGCAGCAAAGTAGCATACAACATAATAAAGGTTGTAGAACAGATGCAAGGACCAAACAGGAATAACAAGTTTAGTTGATATGGTTACCATTTGTTTGGGTTTAATTCTGGGGAAACAAATGGTAACCATATAAACTAACGTTACCATTTGTTTGGGTTTAATTTGCAACTTTTTTAAAAAAATGGCACTCTGTACACTGTAGCAGTAGATGTAGCAACAGAACAAAGTCTGAGTCCAGTGACACCTTTAAGACCTGTTATGTACGCGGGCCGCCACCAGGGGTACGCGGCTACAGTAAGGAGCTTGGCTCCTCTAGACAATAGAAGCCTAGGATCCTAATTCCCCCAGAATTCACCAATAGCCACTTTGGCGGGAAATTCAAACCCTCCAACGGGACTGGGTGTGTGCTGGGTGGGTGTGTATATAGTTGGCCTTGCAGGGCCGTTTGTTAGTTCCAGTGAGAAGTTCAATAAACGTGTGCAAACGCATGTTGTTGTCCGGGTCCTCCATGTGGCGAACCCAGTACTTTTCAAGACCAACAAAGTTTAACTCGGGGTATAAGCTTTCGTGTGCATGCACACTTTTCCAGAAGAAGTGTGTATGCACACAAAAGTCCCCTGGTGGTGGGGGGAGGAAGTGGCTGCTGTGTAGGGTTCCCAAATCCCCCCGGGGGGCAGATTTCCCCCCGCTTTCAAAGCCCGACTTCCGCCCCACACGGAATCGGGCCCGGGGGAAACTTCACCCCCGCGCGCACGTCACCCAGAAGTGACGTCGCACGCTGGGGGCGGGGCCACGCCATTTGAGGGGAAAACAAAGAGTTTTCCCCTCAAATGGCGTGGCCCCACCCCCAGCGTGCGACATCACTTCCGGGTGATGTGCGTGCGTGCACGAGTTAGACGCCGGCCGGGAGCCCCCTGCTCCCGGCCAAAATTCATTTGGCAACCCTACTGCTGTGGGAACAGAGTCAGAGAAAATGGCTACTGTGAGGGCCAGAAAAATCTGGATTTTCTCACCTACAAAAAACAGCCATCCAGGCTTTACTTCAGAGCAAAGCTGGTTTGAGAAAGAACAGAAAAGAGCTAGGGAATGGAAAAGAGCTAGAGGTGTACAAATGCACCACACCACTGAAGAGAAACAGGAAAAGAAGGAAAAAACCCTCCCACAAGCATTGAACTTGGGGCTGAAAACCCGTGTGGAACACCCCAATGTTACCCCTCTGCCCCTTTGCTCCCAGAGTCCTTGTCATTTTCTCTCATCTCTTCTCACAACAGCGGACGCTTATGAGTATTACTACGAATATGAAGATTATGGCTCAGACAGCTCTGGGCCAGCACAACGGCCTGCTGACCAGCCGCTCTCGCCCATCCAGTTGTTTGATGCCCGGCAACGTCGCAGGCGGGAAGCCAAAGGACCCGGAAAGTCCCAAGAGAAAGTCGTTTACAACGTCTGTTTGTGGTGAGCTCGAGTGAGGCCAGGCACAGCCTGAGGGCTAGAAGCTGGGTCTCCGCCCATTTTGGAGGGCTTTGGGTTCCGTGCCGGCTCTTCCTCTTTACAGCATCAGCGACCCCGTATAGAGGAACTGAAACTTTTGTACATAAATCAAGCATTCATTTTTGAAGGGCTTGCCTTTGTACCATAAAAGTATGAAAGATAACGCAAAATATAAGAACAGAAGAAGAGCCCTGTTGGATCAAACCAGTGGTCCCTCTAATTCCAGCATCCTGTCTCACACAGTGGCCAACCGATTCCTCTGGAGGGCCAACAACAGGGCCTAGAGGCCGAGGCCTTCCCGTGACGTTACCTCCTGGCTCAGGAATTCAGCGGTGTAATGTCTCTGAATGTGGAGATTCCCCTCAGCCACCGTGGCTAGTAGCCACTGATAGATTTATCCTCCATGAATCTAATTCCCTATTACAAGAACAAAAGAACATAAGAAGAGCCCTGCTGGATCAGACCAGTGAGGGTCCATCTAGTCCAGCATCCTGTCTCACACAGTGGCCAACCAATTCCTCTGGAGGGCCAACAAGAGGGCATAGAGTCCGAGGCCTTCCCCTGAGGTTGCCTCCTGGCTCTGGGATTCAGAGGTTTAATGCCTCTGAATATGGAGATTCCCCTCAGCCACCATGGCTAGTAGCCACTGATAGACCTTTTCTCCATGAATGTGTCTAACTCCCTTTGAAAACAATCTGTACTTGTGCTGGGTCTGCCAGGCAGCTTGATCTTTGTAACATACATTCAAAGTTTTTTGCTACCATAACGTGTCTGACTAGACTGTATACCTGCAGTGTAGCACTGAGACTGGATGACGCCCATGGACAGGGACCCTTTTCTGCCACTGCACCATCTTTGTGTGCCAAGCCTTATTTTGTTTCCTTTATGCATTCATTTATTTCCCACCTTTCTCCCCAATGGGGACCCAAAGCAGCTTGCATCGTTCTGTTTTATCTTCATAACAAGCCTGTGAGATCGTTTAGTCTGAGAGGATGTGACTGGTCCAAGGTCACCCAGCAGTCTTCCATGGCAGAGTAGGGATTCAAACCTGGGTCTCCCAGATCCTCATCCAATGCTTTAACCACTACGCCACGCTGGCAGTCACGCTTTCTCCCTGTGTTCTTGCGGAAGGGCATGTTAACCTGCCCGAACATTCGCAAAAAGATTGTTGCTTTGTAGAATTGTATTGCTTGGGGGTAACTGCAGTTTTCTGGCTGGGTTTATATGATGATATTCTTGTTTAGCTTCTCCAGCTTCTTTGGCTGTTTGGTGGATTCTTATTTCATTTAGTCGGTGTGTGCTGTGGGTTCAACCTGAACCATTTATCCACTTGTGAATCGGGATAGTTTTAAAAACGAATAAGGACACTAAATCTTTGTCCTGACCTCCCACTTCTTTCTCTTTCCTTCTCTTACAGGAGGCAACCAGGGGCACACGTCACAGGCATGGTCATTGTTGACATCACCATGCTCAGTGGCTTCGAGCCAAACAAGGACGACCTTGACAAGGTGTGTGTGTGTGTGTGGCGGCAGCAGCAGCAGCGGTCTGAGCTTCAGTTCCCTCAAATAACAAGTGCCGAGCTTCCAGTCTGCCTAGAAATACCTTCTGCTCTAGAAGCTTCCCTCCCCCAGTACCTCAGACGTTTGAGCGGGAAGACTAGGCCGTTGTCACCCAACAGATAGTTTCAGAGGGCAGTCATGTTGGTCTGCAGTACAACAGCTAGACTCAAGTCCAGTAGCACCTTAGAGACCAACAAGATTTGGGGGGGGGGCATAATTTATGAATATTTATTTATTCAAATTTATATTCCGCCCTCCCCGCAAGCGGGCTCAGGGTGGATTATGACAGCAGTAAGCTTTCGAGACAGAGTCAAAGCTCAGAGGAGGTTTTTTTGGGAGGGGGTGGGGTTGCATTTTCTAAATTAAACTTAAAACTTTATACAATACAAGCGGATAATTTTTTTAATTAACTTTTTATTGGTATTTTTGGTTTATAGCAGACAATACAGTGCAACTTTACATTATCAGATAAATATATACGGTACAAGGAACAAGCTTAGTTTTATGAAAAATATTATTCAAATGAAGATATACATTTTGGTTGTGCTTACCCGTGTTTGTTTTTGAGCTAAATCAGAAATTAGTACTAACATTTGTGTTTACGGCCTTCAACCAAACATTAATAACTCGTGTTTGGGTGTTTTGATATGTTCCCAGTCAAACTTATCTATGTTCATTTTCTCCACTATTGGGTACCATTTATCTAAAGGGCTAAGTAATTGACTTTCAGCATCTTCATTGTTTATGTAAAAAATAATCCCACACTTTGTGGATCCATACAAGTGGATAATTAACATACAATAAACCAATATACAGAGCTCAGAGCTGACTCTTAAAAGCTTATCCCCTGAAGATCTAAGATGCTACTGGATTCTAATCTAGCTGTCTCCCAGCAGTGGCTGAAACTCTCAGGGAAAGCTGAGCAGCAGATGTTTTATTGTGGCTGTTGGCCTGGAATTTCATGGCTGTAAAAGCCACTGTGTGTGGAATTTTCAGGGGGAAAGACACTGGCAAGGAACAGGTTGTTCCGAAAAAAGCAGAACACAATCCATATAATGTCTTTTATTGTGGTGAAAGTTGTCGGAGCTGACTTATGATTACCCCATCGTGTCTTCAAGGCAAGAGACAAACAGGGTTTTGCTATTTGCCTGCCTTTGCGTAGCAACCCCAGTCTTCCATGGTGGTCTCCCATCAAAGCAGAGGTCATTTCGGGGGGGATCGCAGTTCCCTCGGGTGAGGTATGGGGGGCGGGGCACATGACGCCCCGTCCCCTGCTTCCGGCCGCCCCGCTTCCGGCCCTCATTCAGCCAGGAGGAGGCAGGAGAAGAGGGAGGGTAAGTTGCTTCCTCCCTGCCTCTCCCCACGCCTGCCTGCCTGGGGCCAGGGAGGGCCTTCGCGGGGCTTCCTCGCGCTCCTGCCGGCCTTGCAGGTCCACTGCCAGGCCCCTCATGGGGCTCGGCAAGGCCGGCGACAGCGGCCAGGACCGTTGGGGGCGGGGTGTGTGGCCTTATGACACACTTCCGGTGATGTCAGGGGGTGTAGCATATGCTAATGAGTTATGCTAATGAGTTCCCCTAGCTCTTTTTCTACGAAACGACCCCTGCATCAAAGTATTAACCAGGGCTAACTCTGCTTAGCTTCTGAGATCTGATGAGATTGGGTCAGGCTGGGTCAGCCAGGTCAGGGAAGCCATCTTTTATTAGGACCAAGCAAACGACAAATTACAAGCTTCCAGGTGAAACATTCCCTTCCCCATCCCTTCTGCGATGCAAAAGGTCCCTTCTGAAGCTTCGTTACATGTGGCCACAGGGGTAATGTGTATTTTCTCTTTATGTTCAGCTGAGAAAGGCAGATTTAAACCCCTTCACTGATTTATTGTGTTGAGGAGTTCTTTTAAAATCCAGAGTAAATAAACAAGAGCCAGACACCATGTTTTTAAAGTAAAAGTAACCTTATCTAGTTTAGGGAAGGGAGCTTTGGAGAAAATAATAAGAACAACACAGTGAGTTTCTAGAGCTACATCATGACAAGGGCTATTTTTGGGCAGGAACGCACAGGAACAGAGTTCCGGCTGGCTCACGAGTTGGCCACGCCCAGCAGGAACTCATTAGCATAATAGGCCACACCCAACAGCAGGCACTCATTGGGATTGGCTACATTAGGGGTGTGTGGCCTAACATGCAAAGAGTTCCTGCTACAAAAAAAAAGCCCTGGGTTTTGACAACAAACTAGGTAAACAGAATAAGAAGCAAAAGGTGGGTGTGGCTGGATGACCACACTTCTGGTAATGTGGGGTGTGGCATAATATGCTAATGAGCTGCTCTGTCAGGGATGTGGCCTAATATGCTAATGCATTTCTGCTGTTGGGTGTGGCCTGTTATGCTAATGAGTTTCTGCTGTGCTTTTTCTACAAAAAAAGCCCTGATCATGACTATTGCATGGCTAAAACTATAATGGCATCTCCTTCCTCGCAAACAAAGAATGGAAGCTGGTAATAAAATGCAAACATCCAATACTTTGATCAGCCAGTCACAACTCTATAAATCATTTCATTTTACTAACACTGCCTACAGTTTTCCTGGGCTAACTGAACTCAACTTTTAATTGGTTACAGGTTAGTTAGGTGATTTCCTGTTTACTAAAAACAACAGTTAACTCCATAATGACTGAAAGTGCAAGTAACTTGTAAATATCCCAATATACTGACATCCAAGTAATTCTTAGTGGATCAGAATAGTCGTTAGGGTTCCCAAGTACTTACCGCAATCCGGTGGGGGACACATGCTCCCCGGCCGGAACATTCCTCCCTGCAACGCACCATGCCGTCGCCAGGAAGTGACGCTGGGCGACGCTCTGACAATGGGGCTGAAAACTCGATGGTACCATCGAGTTTCCAGCCCCATTGCCAAAGCGTTGCCCGGCGTCACTTCCTGGCGATGGCATGGTGCGGCGCGACTGTTGTCCGCGTGGGAATGCTCCTGGGAAGACGTATGTGTCTCCCGTCGAATCACAGTAAGTACTTGGTAAGCCCGATAGTCATCTGCTACAGCATCGTTTCGGAAAGGACGAAGGCTATGGTGCCCCACCTTGGGAGCCTTCTTCTAACAGGGGAATCCACCTGTTTGTTCCCTGGTTAACTTTCATCCTGTCTCTCGCCTGCCTCCTCAGCTGCGAGATCTCTCTGATCGGTACATCAGCCATTGGGAGACCCAAGGACGACGGCTGCTCCTGTATTTCATTTCGGTGAGAGAAGCTTGCAGGGGAGAATCAAGTAATGAGAGAAGTAGCCAGGAAAGGACAGCCTTCCCCGTCTGGTGATGGCTCTTTTACTCCATTGGACACAGTAGAGGCCCAGGGTTTCAAGATTCTGCTCTAGCTGGAAGGGTCTCCCTGAGGGTTTTTTTTTTTTGGGAGGGGGCTCTTCTATGAAAGAGTCTCCAATGGTACATTACAAATGGTATTCCAGGGGTCCCCAGCCTTTTTGAACCCGCGTGCAATCTTTGGGATGCTGCCACAGGGTGGTGGGCGCAGCTACAAAATGGCTGCCACAGGAGGTGGAGCCAAGCACAAAAGGTCAGGCGGTTCAGATAGGCCTAACCCTCCAGCACTTCAGGCAGAATTTCTGCTTAAGAGGATGCCTTTGTAAATGAACATATTGTTTGAAACATATTACCTTGCATATATACATAGATCCAGATGATCAGCTGTGTTGGTCTGAAGCAGTAGAACAAATTTAGAATCCAGTGGCCCCTTTAAGACCAACAAAGGTTTATTCAAGGTATGAGAAGAAGAGATTGGATTTATACCCCTGCCCTTCACTCAGAGCAGTTTACAAGCTCCTTTCCCTTCTCCTCTCCACAACAGACACCCTGTGAGGTAGGCGGGGCTGAGAGAGCTCTTTCCAGAACTGTCCTTGAGAGAACAGCTCTGACAGAACTATGGCTTGCCCAAGGTCATCCAGCAGCTGCAAGTGAAGGAGTGGGGAATCAAACCCCGTTCTCCCAGATTAGAGTCCGTGCACTTAACCACTACACCAAACTGGCTCTCGTGTGCACGCACCTACCTTGAATAAACCTTTGTTGGTCTTAAGGGGGCAACTTCTGCTTGCATAGACACAGTTTACCTTCCGTTAACATAGTAATTATCCTTCTGCTGTGGTGGCACCGGCTGCGAAAGCAACATTAAAAAAAAAAATTGTACAGGTTAATCAGATCTCTAATGGCGAAGTCAGAGGCCTCGCTAGACAAAAGCCCCACCTGACCCCACCCATTTTCTAACACACTTGGTGGGCACCACTGGCACCCAAGGGCACTAAGTGGGGGGGGGGGCCTTTACTTATTCCAAGCGGTGGTTACTCTGCAAGAAGCGTTCGGGTTGCCACCTTTTAAAATAGTGTTTCTCCTGTGTGTGTGTTTAAAAAGTAGCCTGGCATACGGAGAAACTAAGCCAGTACAGGAGCTTTTCCTGTTGTTTTATCTCCAAGGAAAGTTTAACCTGCTAAATTTCTCTGTATCTGGTTGCCGTTTAAAGGCACAGGGGGACAGCTCTCCGTTTACAGTTAGCAAGTTTCTAGCCCTTATGGCTGCAGAGATAAGGTCTGTACATTGCAGAAATCGGATTTCCCACCTTTAGTACAGCGGAAACACAACCAGTCCTGCCTGTGTGTTGTGACTTAGTTAAAATTAAGTAATTGGATGGGGATGAGAATGGGGGAATTACTACTTAATACAGAGTTATGAACAGGCTGTTTGCTAACTCACCTGTTGTGAGCAAGAATCTACAAGCAAAGACTGGAAGCCCCACCTCTTAATCCCAGGTGTTTGGAGGACTAGCTATAGGAATTCAGAAGGGAGATAAACTGTGTATATGCTTCAGTGGAGTGTGTTGCTACTTAAATGTTCCAGGATCGAACCATTGTATAAAAAACATTACATGATTTATAGGTACTCCTAATCTGATTTAGTGGAAAATCTAAGGGCTCTTATGATCACTGTATGTCTGATATATTTCGCTGCACTGTAAATCTGCAAGGAGATGTGCCGGTCATACAGTGATGTAATACCGAATCAGCCACTAGAGGGAGCAAAACAAGTGTGGAAAAGACACCCCCCTCCCCAAGTAACAGGGACACAAAAGTGACAAAGATGAGAATGTGAAAGAGCCCAGTGTTTTCTTGCTCATTCCATGCTTTCCATTGGTAAAGAAAGTTTCCATCTCTCCTCTGTCACCAATGATCTCTATCTCCTACTTCAGCCTCCAGTCCACTCATCCAAGTGGGGCCATAACTCAGGGCAGGATGTTTGTTTTTGTATGCAGCAGGCCCTAGGTTCAGTGCCCAATAATTCTAACACAAACTGTCCCGGAGTTGGCAAAGAGGCTCAGCCTGAATTCTGGATCTGGTGATACAAATTCTGGAGATACCGGTGATACAAAGCAATTTTGTGTATTCATATATAGGTGCCATTATCAGGACGTGAATGTGTCTCGTTTGGAGCAAAACAGCTGGTCCCTGTGGGAAAACTCCAGCCAGCAAGTGCCACGGTGTATGACTTCTATGAACCAGGTAAGCAAAAAGTCATAGACAGCAGCAATCCCCAACATGGCGCCCACTAGCGTGCTTCTGGGCACCTGCTTTTCTGAGTCTTGGTAATACATATAGATTTGAGTCTAGCAGCACTTCAGAGATCAACAGGGGTTTTCAGGGCACGAGCTTTCAAAAGTCAAAGCGCTCTTTGTCAGGTATAAGCTTTTCTGGTATCTGATGAAGGCAGCTTTGACTCTTGGAAGTTCATACCCCGAAAATCTTGTTGGTTTCTAAGGGGCTGCTGGACTTGAACCTAGCCGTTCTACTGCAGACCAACATGGCTACCCTTTGAAACCATGGCCCTTTCTGCACTGACAGCCTTGCTCCAGAGAATTGGAGGAGTCGAGCCTTAAGGGTTGATTTTGCAGTTGCACACATTCCCTCTGCACCGGTTTCCCCCCCCCTTCCAGGTTATTTATTTGTGTATTCTGCATTCTGCATCTACAAGCAAACCCCGCATTTTTTGAGCTCACTGGCTGTTTTGTCTACGATGAAGAGAAAGGCAAACGTCTTTCAAAACCTTTAACTGCAGGCCCAACCCCTCCCTCCCTCCCTCCGTGATTCTGCAAAAAGAAGGGGGTGGGGGAAATCCAGGCCCACACATGCAAGACTGACACATTCGGGAGCAGGGAATCCCCTAGTCCTTTATATTTACTGATTCCTTCTTATGCTCTCCCTGGCTTTGTAAAAGTTTGCCTGAGTGGGAGGACACATCCGCTTTTGTATTTGGAGAAGGAGGCAAAGACAACAGAATGGGGAGGGACCATCAGCCTGAAGAGAGAGAGGTGGAAACGGGGGAGGGCAGAGGGCAGCACTTAAATACCCGCAGGAACACTTCTACTTCAGGAAGGATTAGCAATTAGAAAGCAGATGAGACCAAATAATCACAGCAAAAGGAGTTTTGGTAACTGCGGGGCTACAGTGTGCTGGAAGCGGTCCGAATGCAGATTCCCGTAAAACAAATGCAGAAACAAGAGAAAGCCCTGACACAAACGGGAAGTGGGAGGGAATGCAGAATGGAAGAATAGGATGTGCTTAGAAACTGAGGCAAAATACGGGTGCAGAAAGGGCCTTATTTTGGTGATGCGTGTAAGTTTCCCCAGTGAGGCAAGTAACATTCCCTCTGGTTGCTTTCAGTTCAGGAAAACAGCAGGGGGGGGGAGGATTAGGCCCTCCCCCCCACATGCTGTGGTCCTGATCTAGATTAGGTCCCTGTGTGCCTGGGAATTAAGCTTCCACAGAGAACTGCTAGGGCACATCTGACAGGACTCGGGGCAACAGGACCCAGGGCAGATACATAAACAATCTTACGTGTATGTAAACAGTGGTCGGACTTTGGGGGCACTTGACTTATGGGACAGGGACACTGTGTGAGGAGAAAACTGGTCCACTTCTACTTGATTTTAAGCCACCTTGTGTTTGCCCATGTGATACTGTACACAACGAGTTTCTGCCCCCCCCAGCTTTTCCCCTCTGTACTAATTGAGCTGATTCCATTTGGCACTGCACCTCTGCATCCTCACTTCCTTCTCTGCAAACACCCCTCCCACCCCCTGCCTGGGGTATAAGGACTCCGAGATCTCCATTCCATTGACTTTCACAAGCTTCTATCCTGGAAATCTTGTTGGTCTCCAAGGTGCTGCTGGACTCCAATCTGACTTACACGTATCCCTGTTGTTCTTCTCTCCCACTAAAGCAAAGCGCTGCAGCACCTTCTACGGAGCGCCCAACAAGCCCCAGTTTGTGTCGGCCTTGTGCTCGGAAGACGTCTGCCAGTGCGCGGAAGGTAAGGCTACCTGCTTGGCCTGAGTGCGAGATCGAGCTTTAGGCATTGGCAGGACCTAAACAAAGACTTCCAATTGGCCAGCCAGGCAAGAGATCTGCCCTTCCTGCAGGGCCACAGCCAGAAAGTTTTGGTGGGTGGGGCGTGGGGAAATCTGGGGGTGCACCCTGGCTGCACCTGCTGCTCCTCTTGCAGCCGCAGAAGCAGCAGCTCCGGCTCCACTGCTACCTCTAGTCTTCCTCTAGTCCTTTTGATTGAAGATACTCAATTCCAGGCTGCTTTTCTGTGTAAGCTGTAGGGGTGTGTGTGTGTCTCGGACTCCCTCTATTTTGCATTTTGCGATTTTATTTTATTTCGTGCAATTTTATTTTATTGCATTTTAAAAAACCTATTTATTTTTGGCCTGGAAAAAAGAAAATATGAGACTGATGCTCCCCTGGGGTCATTTTGGAACATCCACATGCATCTTACATTTTTTAAAAAAATGAATACATCAATTTTTAAAAATTCCCTCCCGAATTTTCTTTTAAAAAATCTGTCTGAGTAGAAGGAGTGTACCGTTCTTCGGTCAAGGGTATACGATAGCTGCGCTCCCCTGCTAGAACCTCCAAACAAGCTCAAGGTCCATTTGTAGAAGAACATAGGGTAGTCAAGCTTCCAAGACTCCAGACACATCCAAGTGAGGCGCTGCATGTGGCAGTATGCCATTCTTTTTTTAAAAAAACCAACCTTGTCTGAGGGAGCCTGCGCTCATCTGTGGGGGGGCATTGCCCCCCAATTCCCCCGGTGGCTATGGGCCTGCCTTCCTGCAGTCAGGATGCACTGCTCACTTGACCAAAGGGTCAATTGAATCAAGGAGGGTGTGTATCTGGTAGCACAACTGCAACACGGCTGGGCACATGCTCGCCAGCTGAGTTACATGAATCCCCTTCGCTGTTATTAATGCTCTCCTGCCACATGCCCGTGAAGTCAGGAAGAGCCGGGTATGGTGGAAATACTGGCAATCCATAGGGAGCTCTCGGAAGCTACCCAACCTTGCAGTACTCGTAATGTTATGTGATATTATGTAATTTAGCTCTTCCCACACAAAGGAATCTGCAGCTAGGGGGGAATATGTTTTGAAGGGCCACTCTGAAAGCCGAGCAGAGTCTCTGCACAGCAGAATTCTATAGTCTGGCTGCTTGAAGAATACGTTCCCACCAACGCTTCCTCTAAGCTGTGGAGTCCTGTGAGCAAAAATTATACTTTGTGAGCTACTGGCGTTAAAGTTGTGAGCGAGCGATTTGGCTACTGCATAAATTAGTTTGCTCTGGAGCCATCCTCCCTGAGCTAAGAGAAAAAATGTGTGAGCCGGAGGCTAAAAAACTGTGAGCTAGCTCACGCTAATTCAGCTTAGAGGGAACACTGGTTCCCACCAAGGCTTGTTACTGAGAAAAGAAACAGTTCTTTATTGTGAGAAAACTCCATACCAGACAGGAAAAGGAGAGTAAAGGCTTTTAGCTATCTGTCTAAGCCAGTTTGGTGTGGAGGTTAGGAGCGCGGACTCTAATCTGGGAGAACCCGGTTTGATTCCCCACTCCTCCACGTGCAGCTGCTGGTGTGACCTTGGGTCAGTCACAAGTTCTTTCAGAGCTGTTCTCTCAAGGGCAGTTCTCGAAAGAGCTCTCTCTCAGCCCCACCTACTTCATAGGGTGTCTGTTGTGGGAAGGGAAAGGGATTGTAAGCCACTCTGAGATTCCTTCAGGTAGTGAAGGTAAAGGTAAAGGTTCCCTTGCTCGAAAACCAGTCGAATCCAACTCTAGGGTTGCGGTGCTCATCTCCGTTTCAAAGCCGAAGAGCCAGCGCTGTCCGAAGACATTTCTGTGGTCATGTGGCTGGCATGGCTAAACGCCAAGGCGCACGGAACGCTGCGTATAAATCCAAACTCTTCCTCTTCTTCTAAGCTAGGATGGAGAGAGATAGTAGAAAGTATGACTGGAAGGAAGGAACCCCCTGAGGGTAGCATTCTGGGTAACAAAGGGGCAGCAGAAGGAGTTAGATGAAGGAAAGGTCAGGGAGCACCCTATCTAGCCTTCACTGTCTACTGCCCTCAACTCCAAAGTCTGTGCTAGTATTAAGAGACATTGCACAGTCCGTTCCTCCCAATGCCATCCAACTTTTCACGTAGCGAGTGAAGCAAGTACAGCGCAACAGGTGCCCGCTGTTGGAGGGCAAGAATCACCATTTTCAAGCTACTGAATCAGCAGCAGTTTCTCCCTGAACAGGAGCGTTTCCTGTGATCACTTCATTTGGGCGGATAGTGATAGACACTTTCAGGAAAACCACCACATCTGAAAAGCCTCCTTGAGAACCTGGGAGGGGCAGGTCCCTGTCCCACCCCTATTTCTCTCCCACAAGCAACCAAGGCATCCTGTCTCCCAGATTCTCCTGTTTCCCCAAAGAAGTCCGTTTTCCTCCACAACCACTTTGTGCTAATGGCTCCGGAGTCTTCCGGGGAATCCTGATCTCATCTCTCTCTTGATTCCGACCCCCCACAGGTGCCTGCCCCCGTTTGAAGCGAAGCCGTGAAGAGGCCATTACGAAAGCGACTCGCATGGAGTTTGCATGTTACAGCCCCCGTGTGCATTATGGTGAGAGATTACAGATATCTCTCTCTCTCTCTCTCTCTCTCTCTCTCTCTCTTTCTATCACTATCTTTTTTTGGCTCCTGCCTTCATGTGTCCCCCCCCCCGGCAACCTACAAAGAGTATTTCTTAACATACTTTTCCACAGGGCACAATTCCTTGCCATTTGCCCGCTCTAAGGTGCCCTCTTTATAGCTCTGTAATTGCTTTTTGCCTTGCTATTATTATTGGGATATTTGGTTAATATAGCAGAGTTTTCCCAGTCACAGAACCACGTGATATTGCATGCAGTAAAATAAATCTCCAAAGAGGTATATTGCAAAAAGTAAATTTTACATTTGTTCAGGTAGATTAAGAACCTAAGAAGAGCCCTGTTGGATCAGACTAATAGTCCATCAGGTCTGTCTCACACAGTGGCCAACCAGTTTTTCTGGAAGGCCAACAACCAGAGGACGCCAGGCACGCTGGGGGCCCTGCCCCCAGCGTGCCCGCGCCCGCGTCCCTGCCAGTGACGTGCACGTCGGGGTGGAGTTCCCCCCGGGGCCCGATCCGGCGGTGCCAGGGAACAGGCCTCTGGGGCGGGGATTCCCCCCCCCCGGGGGGGACTTGGGATCCCTAGTGAATGGGGAGTTGCTGACAGAGTGGCCCTTTGGCCTGATGAGGCCCATTGTTCCTGCAGAATTGGTCTGGAAAACCTCAAGGCTTATTTTCCTCTGAATATAATTGATTGGCTCAAACTGACTTTCTAACTATTATTATATAGCAACAATTGCTGTGATTGTACTTTTCCCTTGTTTCTTTCTTACATAAACTGCACAACATCTAGGGCCTTTTGTCAAACGTAGCTTGTGCGGAACCAGTATTAAAACAAAAAAAGTTTTTCTTTAAGTTAAAAAAGGGGGGGGGGGAACGGATA